AGACATCTTGCAGTCGTATGTGTGCCGTTTGGGACGCATGTGTAACAGTATATTAGATCCGTGAATGAGGTCTTAAAGAGACAGCAGCCTAAATAAACCTGCTGCTGTCTGTCTCATTACTGTTTATTTATACAGTGAAGACTACCCAGTGTTATTCTACAGTTGAATGTTGAATTTTTTTTTTCTTTAACAATGGAGTTCCATTTCTGTAGTAATTCTCTACCTAAATATTACTGTTAGGAAAACTTAAAAGTACTGTTAATTTTAATTAATAATAAATGTACAAATTTGTGTCTTGTTATTCTTTTCGTTTGTGCTATTTCTTGTCATTTATTTATTTGTTCTTATTTTATTACTTACTGTTTACTGTCTTTTTTAGTTAAAATAAATTAAATTCTGAATTTATTCACATGATTCTTGGGTAGGGAGGTTTAACCACCAGGGGGATGGAGGCCCCATGGGAAACAGTCCTGCCACCACAGCTGGAAAAAATCCAAGAGGAAACACTGTAATATATCTATAAATAAATATATATCTCAAAATATCTGTATTGCTAATATCATTCTTTCCCTTATGTTTTTGAAAAGCTACCACAAATGTTTAAAATTAAACTGCATTTGAAACATAAGACTTCATCTGAAATGAATTCTATTGAAGCACATTCAATTTAAACTGCAAACTGAATTCACAACTGTGCACATTTCTATTAGTGCACAAAATTCAAATTTGTGTAACTGCCTTGCATTTTCATGTATAACAATACACCACATCTGCCAAGTTTCAAATGGAAACAGTTCAATGCTGCACTTACAAATAAGACTAAATTATTTGCAGTGTACAAATGTATTACAGTGCAGTGTACGGTGCTTATAATTTAGACTAGATCTCCCTAGTCAGTGTGGTTGCCATGTTGTGAAATTCCCTCTGTGCTCTTTGCTCCCAGGGTAAAACAAAGAGAAGAGGTGTAAAGGATGGTATAGCAGCTGTGTCACACCTGTTAGGAAATTTCAAATGCAGCATTTATGCATGCCCCGAAATGACAAAATCAGCCCTAAGCAAGTATAGTATAGTACAGTATACAGAGTAACAGACTAAATGGACTTCTCATTTTCATTTAATAATCTCTGAATCAAAAAATTCCTCCAAAAATTCCTTATGAGAAATAAAAACTGTATAAAACTGATCAAATTAGCAGTTCAGATTAGAGGTGTCAGAACATATTGATGATAACCATGCTATTTATAAAATAATAATACTGATATCATGTTAATACTACACATATGATAATGTCATAAATAATCCAGAGGCAGTAATTACTGGGTTGACACGTGGTGTTATTGAACCTTAACGTTGTTGCCAACCATCATAAAACAAAAAGAAGACAATGCATTGCGTAGCTACTATTGCTTCACAAAATCATGTTGGAGGAGAGACCTGCACCCCAAAAAAATCTTGCCAATATGGGAGATTTTTGGATTCCATAAAAAGTTCAATATTTTCCAACCCTGTTTCTTAGGACACATCAACAGTACACATTCTGGAGGTCTCTCTTATCTGAACCATCCATTTCAGGTCTTGGAGTCTCTATTAACAAGCTGAGCTGAATCAAGTGTATTTGATTAGGAAGAGTTCAAAAATGTGTACTGCTGGTGTGCCTCCAGGAACAGGGTTGGGAAACACTGTGTTGGATGGCCCAGTCTAGAGGAAGCGCCCATAAACAGCAAATTCTTTTTGTACGCTTTTTTACAGTTATAGTTACAAACTCTCTCTCTCTCCACCTCCCTACACTTGTATTTTGAGTGACTCATTGGCCAAAAAAGAGAAATCACAAAATAAACAAAGTTAAAGACGAATTTGACTGTTCCCAAACAGCTGGGGGTTTGTGAGTTCATGAAAAGCTAATAATTAACTACATCGAACAGGGCTGCATGATTAATCGTATTTTAATCGTGATCAAGATTCCTGGTTCTTTCGAAATCACAGCAACTTCAAGTAAATATTTTACACTTAAGAGGTTCAACTGACAAAAAAAATGTTTGGGAATCAAAAAAATGTAGTAAGCAGATAGCGGTGTCCAATAATCATTGTCTATGACAATATCGTAATTGTTGTTTTAACTATGTGCAAGCTGACATTTTCAAGTATGTCACTCAGTTTGCAAAAAAATAAAAACACAAAAGCATTGACTGTGATGAAATTTATTGGAATGCAGTTAGAATGCCTCTGTAATTCAAGTTATGAAAGCAAAAATATCCCTGTATGGGATTTTGTTTTTAATATTTATGAGATATGATATAGTTAAGTGATATTACACAAGCAAGAGGGCTTATCAAAATATCAGTGTGTGCGCTGATCGCAAATGAGACAGGGCTCCAGACAAAAAAAATCATTTAAGGAGCCATTGGCACCTATAAGAAACAAAAATAGGCGCCAACTTAATTTTTTTTAAGTTCCACAGAATAAACGTGTTTTCTTTTTGAAAAAAACAAAAAACACCTTGACATTTCAGTCATACTGTCATGTGTTAAAGGGGTCATATGATGCGATTTCAAGTTTTCCTTTCTCTTTGAACACTACCGTCATATGACCCCTTTAATGTCTCCCCTCCTTTTACAGCATCAGCATTTTAATTAATCTTGAAAATGTCCTGGGAACTAAGGTTCACTTGAAGTGGGAACTACATGTCTTTTCCAACTTGAGAACTATATACAGTCACAAAAGATTGTTTATTACACAGAATCTGTGCCAATATCACAAAACATAACTATGTCAGCATCACTTCGCAATTGAGTGTAGTTTGGGCTCCTCCTCAATGCATCCTATAAATGCTGTCATACAGTATTGTCCTGCACACATCCAGTCTGTATTTCTTCATTAGTAACATGCAATTATATAGAAGTTGTTACATTTTATCTTTAGCTCCTTGCATTCTTTCTTATCATGTAGATAACAGATTAAGTAAAACTATGAATATGCAACATAGTGCATATATTTAGCTAAATGCTCTTCTTTATAGTTATTTTTCCTAGCTGAATAATGAGCTTATGTACACCGAATGGTTATTCTGAGGTAAATGTATTGTTACGTGTTACGTAGTTTACAAGCTTTACACGTTTTCCGCAGTTTGAAACACTGAATGAGCGATTACATGAGATATTTCAGTAAGTTGCACTGTATCTTCTAATATACCTTGTCCATTCATGTTTATTTTGTACTATAGTAGTAAAGAGAAAGATATGATGGGTTTACGTGCCGCTTAAACTGAGGCGCTAAAGTGATCGCTCATGCCACATTTTAAAGCTGATGCTTTGTTTATTAAATGGTAACAGAGCACAAAGCTTATTGCAATTATTGGACGGCAAGTGCGCTACAAATAATATGAACCTCACACATTAACAGATCACAGCATGTAGACTAAAGATCATGACAACAAGAAGCCATATAAGTATCGATTATAAACCAGAATTGTTAACAATGATCTTAATGTCCACAAAGCTGACAGCTTTACCGGTTGTATTTTGTTCAAGTTGTGCACGAAGTAGCCACTGCTTGTCTGCACTTTTACTTCGCACATCTCTCTTATGCTGCACAACTGGAGCTGCGTTTAGCAGGTGTGCCATCAACGCTGCTGTTTGTTCCATTAAAACTTTGATGTGCATTGTCTCAGTTTATTACGTCAACAAAACAACAGATGTGATCGCATGTGAAAGGAATTACATGCAAATTTTTAAGTCATAACATATAAATTTATATATTCGCCAGTGGCGATCTCAGCAAAAATATCACTCGCAAATTCAGAGCCGATCCTAGACTTCTGGGGGCCCTAAGCAAGGGGGGAAGGAGGGAATAAAAACTAAGAAGGGAAGGGTTCATAAAAAAGTATTTAAACAATTTAGCCTAGAATAGCCTACTATACAGAAATTAATTAAAGTAATCAAATGTAAAAATAAAGCCCTGCATAGACTTCACCATATAAACTAAACATAAATTGATTCATCACAAAGTTATACAATATTCAATGAAGAGCAGTGAATGATTCTCTCATTTTCTTTTGTTGTTTGATTAACAGATGATGGCAGACAGCAGCAGGTTTATACAGTAGGATGCTGTCACAGAATGCACAGATACTGACTAGTATTCAATTACTTTTCAAACTGTTTATTTTCACTAAAGACATAACTGACTGTGTTTAGTGAAAACTCACCAAGATGGGCATTTTGACATACAAAGCGCAAAGTAGCCAATATTTGTCAAGATCTTGAATCTTGAATATACAAAGCGCAAAGTAGCCAATATTTGTCCGTGTTTCAGTACGTCTCGAATTGCGCACACAGAAAGCGCTTTGGGAAACAGTGTCTTTTCCGCGGCTCAGTGCGAATATAACTCGTTTTTTAGTACCGAGCAAGAACGGCAGGAGACTGTATATGACAGTCACGTTACCGCATTAAGGAAAGGAACATTCATGTTTTCATAACCGCTGGCCAAAACCAAAAACCAAACTAATATTAAATAATCACTCAGAGCAAGGGGGCCCCCTGGTGTTTAGGGGGCCCGACGCAACATGCGTACTTTGCATATAGGGAGGATCGGCTCTGCGCAAATTTATATTTTTGATTGAACGAATCATTTGAATGAATGATTCAATGAATCGCTCATTGAGACAAGGACTTGCCGCCACCTACTGGTGGATTTAGTGTCATATTTATTCATCGATGATGGGCCTAAACCAGCCAAGATATCAGCACAAAAACACACTCAGTAAAATATTGTTTTAATTATCATTATCAAAATAATCCCCAAAAATAAAGAGATCATTTTTGTCAATATCGTACAGCCCTAGAAGCAGGACACCAAAGTAAAAATGTATCATTCATTTAATCTCATTGCAGTGTAGTTGAACAGCTGAGATATTAAGCAGATCTAATTTGTGATTTTTTTTTTTTTACCTGTGGGAGTGTAATGCAGTATAGAAGTACTCTAGGTAGGGATGTCATACATACCTCTGTATGTACCGCGACTGCAACAACCCCTTCCATGACATGAGTCCACTGTCTGGCTGTCCCCCTACTGTCCTCCCATCCTGCGGACTAGGCCAATTGTAAACAATGCCCACTGGACACACATGGTTCTAGAGCACTTTTAACGCTTTCAGAAGCACCTGCTCCCGGTCCTACAAGCGTGGATTAAGACTAAAACAGCAGAAGAGCTTTCAGTAGTGCATTGTTTAACTGTGCCGCTTCTGGAGATTCAGAGAGGGGCTGGTAGAAACAGAGTTGGGCCAAGCAGCAGAAGCATAATTTGAATAGAAACAGACCTGAGGTTAGTTTCTAGTGGGATCGTGCAGCGAGTTGTGAATCGTGATGGCCGTGTTGGAGATGGATTTCTCAAGTCCGTCGAGTGCTATTTGTACCGGGCCTGTGCCACGTCAATGGGCGAGCACTGGGCTTGCTTTAAGTTCACTTATGTGAGACTGGAGCGTTGCAAATGGAGTAGAAATCAGAAACTGATTGGGTACAGCAGTGATGAAGCTGTCAGCGCTCTGTTTTGAAGACGAAATCTCTGATGAAATCTCAGCTAAAGCAGAACGGAATTCAGACTTGGAGGATCGGAGGCTTATTACAGGGGTTTGTCACTAAAAAGGGAGTCTACTGATGGCATGGAGGGATAGTAAGCGTCTTTTCAGAAACTCCCCGTGGCCTTCCACCGACAACGTCTTAATGAGTCTCTGTAGGATACACAATCATAAGTATTAGAATATGCAAATGGCATAATAATCACATTGTAATTAATACTTAAAAATGCATAAGCATATGCAATACAAACATCAACGTGTGCACAATGTATAGGCATGCATGCACTCTCCAGCTTTCCTTATGGAGCAATGCACAGAAAATCGGCAAGCATCCGAAAAGCATTACGTCACCTGATCAAGACCGCATCCCTTTGAAATCGAAATAAATGGAGACCATCGATACGATCATCAATTACCACAGATGAGATCTCAAACGCTCCCTTTCGTTTTGCAATGTCTTTAATGTGCAGCCAGGCTTCATACGACGGATAACTGAATCTAATGCATTCATAAGCAGAGAAGAGGTGACGTCATCTACAGCCCGACTCACAAAACCTGAACTAACTGAGCATAATAATAAACATAAACGACAGACAACTCAAAAGCGAAAGTATTAATCGATAATTAACGCTGAACTGTATATCAGCGACATCAGATATGATGCCTCAGCGCCAGATAAGGCACAGCATGAACGCATGACAGCATCCAGTGAACTGTCAAACACCTTCACAAAAGAAAAGATGCACCAAACACTTTATGGAGACACGACGGTATTCATTTACACGTGTTTTATTTAAGCAACCGCGAATCCAGCTGCATATATTGAACACAGGAGATTTATCCGACGGCTAATAATGATACAGACCAATAGAAAACTGACCAACTTAACGTTACTCACAATAACAGCAGTCAATTCTGCCGCAAATAACGGTAACGGTACATTTCAGCCCTCCTCCTCATTCCCTTGAAGTTCAGCGAGCAACACGAAGAGCTCGCGTTTACCTCAGTACACAGTACCCGCCGTTACTGTAGTGATTTCTGCTCGAAATATTGTTATTTACTGTCACAGTGCAGTCAGTGGGTGCTGAAGCGTCTGTCCAGCTAAACTGCCTCAATCTTTTTGTACTCTCGCTTAAGCTAACTTGCCTAGTATAATGAGTCTTTTACGACACAGGATCCACCAAAACGTGCTATCAGTGTAGCGTTGCCTTTCTTAACTGCTAATTACGCATTTGTATCGTTGCTAGAATGATAGGTATTAAATATTAGTTGTAATTTTTTACCTCAGTTTCTCTCCCTCCAATCTCGGCTTCCCTTCCCCCTTTCCACAGTAACTATAAACCCCGACGCCTTGTGGGAATTGTGGTTCTTCTACTGTAAACAGACTTCCGGTGCTGTAGGAGCCCTTTGGTCACTATCTAAAGTTTGTTTGTTTGTTTGTTTTGTTTTGTTTTCATTAAATTTCAGTGACAGCAGTACTTCATCTAAAACGACTTTGATTTCTTATATAAATATGCCATTTCATGAGATTTTTAAAACTGTACATGGAATAAAATATATATATATATATATATATATAATATATATATAAGAGAGCTGGGTAGATTAGTTACAAATTGTAGTCCATTACTGATTCCAAATTACATGACAAAAATTATACTTAGTGACGTAATCCATTACGTTACACATTTTAGGTAATATAATCAGACTACTTTCTGATTACTTTTAGATTACTTTTGACCAAACTGATTCATCACATTGATTTAAATAGGATAATCTTGTATCATATTGTTATATAAAAATAAAAAAAAAACTGAGTAAAAAAATATATTCCATTTGTTACAATTAACAACATGAAGTGCACATGAAATGAGAGTTAGGCTACGTCAAGGTTTCCCAAACTGGGGTTTGTAAAGGAACTGCAGGGTTTTTGAGAGTTTAATGAAAAGCTAATAATTAATTAAATTATAAAAATGTAAAATTAAAATCATTTTAAAATAACATCAATCAAAATAAAACACATTAAAAAAGGAAATATTTTGTACCTGCATGTCATGTGACCATTAACCAAAGTCAGAGAACCGTGAACATGCAAATGTGATACTTAATTATTAAAATATTTATTTTAAAATCTCAGGGGTACTTCAAGTAAATGTATTAGGTGAAAGAGGTTTAGATGACATGCCTGCATTACATGTAAATAAGAAATAACATGAATTTGTGCATTTAAATGTGTTTGAAAGACAAAAGCCTCCCAAATCACATGGTTAACTAACCTAATTCAAATAAAAATGAATGTGTTCATCAGCAGTTGATGCAATGTTGAAACATTTCGTAAACCTGAAATGATTTTTGTGAATCCAGTGGTCAAATGCTGTGTAGCCACCTGACTGGTGACTGGTCTTTGTGTGAATGTCCACAAGCCTGGAAGACTTTCTGAGTGGAAGCGGTAAGCTAATTTAGAAAGGAACATTTAAAACATCAATATATTAGGAATAATTTATTGCTATTGTGTGAATAATGATATGTAATCATGTAATCAATAACTGTGTAACTGTGGTCTGATTATGAGTATTTTCATTTAATCTAATTACAAGTACTTAATTTTTGGAATCTGATTACGTAATCCATGTAATTTGTTACTACCCAGCTCTGAAAATACATACATACATATGATACATAACTAAATAATAAAGGCATAGTTTATGCTTAAATGCCTTTGGCTCAAACAGTCCTTCGCAGAGTTCCTAAAACACATGCAAATGGCCAAACACCTCTTTGCTTTGGCAAACTCAGACCAATTTTACAGACTTTTTTTTTTTTTCAAACAGTAACAACAGTACTTAATATAAGATTCTTTCATAATTTTGCCATTTTATGACATATTTTTAATATTCTACATGGAATGTATTTATATTTTTACAGCAGTAACAACAAAACTATTTTAGTAGCCATAGTTTATGCTAAAACGTGGAAATTAGTAATAAAGAAGGACGTGCATCCAAACTTTTATCTGCTAATATACATTTTAACCTAAAATCTTGATGTTGAGTATATTAAAAAATAAAATGAAGATGATAATAATATTCATGTCCATGTTATTTTGCAATTATGCTTACCCATTTATCAATACCAACATGTAGTTTAATGCAGGCAAATTAAGGAAATACTTTTAAGTGGACATGCACTTTGCATAAAGCATTTTGGCCTGTGAGTTTTTGGCATTTTTTCTACTGCTTGTCCTTTTAAGGTTTAACTTCTAAAACCTATTTGCATACACATCTTTTCTTGATTACTGTACTGACACATAAGAATGACAAAGCAGGATCAAATGGAATTGACTAGCAATGAATAAATTGAGCTTGTATGTACAATGACTGTCTATAGATATAAGGGTGTTAGTGGAGGCCTCTATCAGTGTTCTGATCCAGTCTGGATAGCTTATTAATTTATATGCTTCAGCTGGACCATCGTCTGCTGTGTAACAATATTAAACATGTGTCTTTCAGAAATGTCCCAAAACTGTGGACACAGAGGGGTCATTTGCACAACTTCTGCTTTGAAATTGATTTAAAATAATCAGAAATTGCCCACTGCGTTGGAAAATATGAAAAACATCAGAGAGGGGATTGCGGCCCGCCTTTGGCCACGACATTAGTGTTTACCTCATTTCCTGCTTTGTGCAATGCTGGCTCAGTCGGACCTTCAAGGAGCTGAGAGGTTCCCAAAACACATGCGAATAACCAAACACCTCCTTGCTTTAGCAAACCCAGGCTAATCCACTCCAGACGACAAGACATTTTTATGGACTGAGTTTCTGGCTGTAATACGAGTCACATTCCCTTTCCGGTGGCAGTTTGCTTGAACATCGGTGAGACGTTAATGGGCATAACTGACTTAAAATGTTGTTTATATAACTGACTGAGTGGCCTGCCAAAGTATGTAGATGAAGCTATTTCCTGTATTTCCTTACTCAATCTGCAGATTGAGGCTTCGGTCATAATTTGTGCTCCTTCTTGTTTTACACATGTAGGAAAACGAACCCAGTGAACAACAAAACAGACTGATACTGTAGTTTGTTATTTTAATAGTTTTAATGAATATTCATTTAGCAGACATCCTTTTCCAGGGTGATAAATAATAATATTAACTTAAAATAAATACTTCTGTTTTTTTTTTTTTTTTTTATAAATAATGTTAAAATAGGAACTACTAAGCCCAAGAATAATAGTCAGTGGTGTTTTACAGAAGTATATGAGTGAATAAAAGGAAGTTCAAGCCACAAAATGGGGTGACAGAGGAAGCAGACTGAGTTTACCATCAGGTTGAAATCAAAACTTACTAAATCTCCACTGCAATGACTCCGTAACCTCCAGCATCCATTTTTAGTTATTATAGTTTGTGCATGTGAAAACATTCAAAATTACTTGGCTCGAACATTGAGCAGCATATTGTTTTGATGGACAATTTAACTTCTATCTGTGTGACATTTTTACAAGTGTAGGCTGAAATGGGAGTGATGGCTTTGGGTGGGATGAGCTTGGCCCTGAAAAGAGTCGCCCTTGTTATGTCACCTGTTTTTAGGGTATAAATGTGGACGTCAGCAGACAATGGCTGCTTCCACACCACCATTTGATGCCATTCTGTGCCTGAGATGGTTTGCGAAATCCACCTGGGTTTGAGAAAGTACTCGGTTGATCACAGTTTTTGGGATCCAACCCTAGAGATGATAGAACAGGGATAAACCAGACTCAGTAAGCTTATTCGGAAGAACAGTGTGATACTAAAGTCGTTACTTATGTAGATCTTCTACATAACATCATTTAAAGCATTATCTATTATTTATCAAACAATATGGGAAAAAATACTATGACCAGAAACTGTTTGACTACCGATATTCTTTAAAATGTCTTTGTTTGTGCTCAGCAAAAGAAAGAAACTCATGCAGGTTTGGAACAACATGAGGGTGAGTAAATTATACATTTTTTGGGTGAACTATCCCTTTATAGGCAAAGTGTGGAATTTTTTAAGACAATGGAGCAAACTAAATTGCAAAAATAACTGTTTCTAACAGATTTCCTGAAAACTCCCCCAATTGGTTGGGATAAGAGATGTTTGTTGGTCTCAAACAACCAGAGAAATTTTGACTGTGCCAACAGTGCTAAAAGTGTTTAAACTTTTCAGGGAAATCAGCCTTGTAACAGCTTGCTAATAGTTATTAAACTGGAATACAATAATATACAGGTGCATCTCAATAAATTCGAATGTCGTGGAAAAGTTCATTTATTTCAGTAATTCAACTCAAATTGTGAAACTAATTTATTGAGATGCACCTGTATTTGTAACATCCAAGAATTTACACCCACACAGAGGACAATTCACTTACCTTAAGGTCTAAACTGAGCAACCAGGTAAATTTTGTCTTATTGGGATCTTCTGCACTTGGTCGCATCACAATACAGGTGGGTCCATTCTCAGCCCTTAGAAAGAAAGAAATATTGTAAATATAAATGTGTATATTTCAATCATAAGAAACCTCAGAATAGTTTTAACATGTTAATCGATAAGACAGTGCTAATGTATTTGGTCTTGGCTGCTGCTACATGAATAAGCACCATAACAGATCTAGACAGGTGGAGCTGGGGGAGGTGGAGGGTTTCAGAGGAACTCTGATAGCTTGCTGTAGGACACTGAACCAGGCCTTATACAGGAAAGTGATTCATATTTTCACTTACCTTACAAATCCTTTCTGCTCAGGCATTCCAGGGTGCTGAGTGGACATCCCGGCCAGGAAGCACGTAGATCCCCTCCGCTTGGCACAACGGACACTTACAAAGTCTCGTGGGCCCACCACATTCCCAGGTGTTTCAGCTGAAACCTCATGTGTGATCAGAGTATCCTGACCGATCTTCTGAAGAACCTGAGAGGGACCAAAACTGTACTGAATACCAAATATCTCTACTCTGTGAGTAAGACATGAGAAGACAGGAAGTCTTTTAAAAGTGCAGACACTATAAATGCACACATTGCGGTTAGAACAACAGAAGGAAGAAAAGGAAGCTGTCAGTCAATAGATCAGTTGTTTCTACCCACTTTGACTTGTTTGACATTGGGGTTCCACTCCCCCATTTGTTCCATGTTATCCACCAGCTCCTCATATAGATAAGCTGTCTTCTGTTCCAGCATGACTTCCAACTTGAATACTTTCCCAATGTCTGGTAGTACTTTACTCATCACCTTATCACCATTGGCCTGAGAGAGAAAAACCCACATATGCATTTTTAAATGATTAATTATATAGTATATATGAATAAAAAAGGCCTCTAAAGGCCTGGGACACCAAAGTGCTGTATAAAACTGTATAATAAAATATGCACAAATACAAGGCATCTATACGTGGTCTTATCAGAATGAATGATGAAATCTTATTATTATTACTACTAATTATTGATGACTCTTACACTCTCAATCTCAGTTTGCCAACCATCCTGGTCACTGAGGATGCTGATGGACTTCTGCAGAGCTTCCTGTCCCTGCTGCACATAACACTGCTCAGCTTCACTGTACGTCTCCTCTGCAATCCGACTGCCTGTACAAAGAAACATATGAATAAACACAATCCTTTGCATAAACAAATACAAACTAGATTTCTGAAGAAAATAAAGATTTCTGTGAAAATGGTAATTTTTCACTGACCCTTTCTGCAAGTTACATTGTTACGCCAGTAGGTGGCGACAAATGACTGTCTTTATAAATGAGTTACTGAATCATTCATTCAACCGATTCATTTAAAAACACTGAATCATTCAGGAACTATACAAGTGACTAACTTCTCTCCCATTGCCTCATGGGATAGTAAAATGTCCATCAGATGCGCACTTTGTAATCTTGGCAAAAGTAGTAGGTCACCCGTTTACTTTTTGCTTGCTGATTTATGAATGCTAAGAATTTGGACATACTACAGATTTCATGTATTGTCCAGATTTGTGGACTTGGACTGCAATTGTGAATGAACTTGGACTTGGACGGACTCGGGTGGACTCAGGTGGACTCGTACTCGGACTTGGATATTTTGGACGCAGAAATTTTTCAGAGTACAGACGAATCCATGTCATGTGTAATATAAAATAATTAAAAAAAAGTAACAACATAAAATTAATATAAAAAGACATTAATAAACGTCTCCTACTTAAACTCAATTGATTAAAAACTAGGACTCGACAAGGTGGACTCAGACCCAACACTGGTATTGACTACCATTTAGTATGGAAGTAGGCATATTTGAACCAGGTGTGCCTCACACATCCTGAAAAGTGAAGTTGCGGGCTCTTTGATCACCCCCCTGTGGCTGGCTGCAGTACAGGTCATAAACCCCGCCCTCTCCATGTAAACGAATGGGACTTAAGTCAAAATAAAAAAATTAATTACGCTTCCAATACAATTTTCCGAAAGATGGTTTTGGTAGTTGTTATCACGCTGATATATGTTAAATTGTTCGTTTTTGTGATAATAGTAATTTGATGCTATAAAAACGAGGCGTGTCGTCATGGTTGATTGGGTCTGTGGGAGTTTGGGCGGGTGTTTGATACCTCGGCTCCACACTACTGCGCAGACTCTGGCTCCAAACGAATCTCTACTGCACAGACTCTGGCTCCAAATGACGTAATTTACTCAAGATGGCAGCGGCCATACTGAGATGCTTTGGCTTCACTTTTCTATAGTGGAAGGAATAGGAGACGCGTCGTCCATCTTTTTTTACAGTCTATGATTTGAACACAGGGGCTGTCTTTATGAGCGAGTCACTGAATCACCACTGATGAAAAACTACTGATTCATTCAAGAATGAAACAAGTGACTGTGTATATGAGTGTGTAACTGAAACATTCACACAACCAATTCATTCAAAAACACTGATTCGTTCAGGAATGAAAGACCACTACAGTGTTTCTCAGAGACGCACAATTCTGCTGTGGCTTTGTTTATAACTATTTTCAAAGGTGAAGTAAAAATAGATAAACAGTTGTCAATGCTGTGTCTACTCAACATTATCTTACTATTTATAGATCTGTTGTAAAAAAGCAATAACACATTCTCTAATATTTAAACCAACAGCACTATTGCTCCAGTAATACAGCTTAAATGGTATACTGTATACAATAAATAAATAGCTATTACACATAGAGTTGAAGTCAAAAGTGTCTCTCTTCCGTTCAAGTGGTGTAAAAGGTCTCTTACTGAGTAGGGAGCTCCTTCTCCGGATGTGGTTGATCCAGGCACTAGGTCCAGGTCCAGAAATCTTGCTCAGCTCATGATGGATTGCAATCATTGCATTCTTTCTCAGACCTGATTGTAATTGGAAAAAAAGAGAAATATATACACATAAACCTCAATAAATAGTGGCATGCTAATTAGAAATATTTCAGAAAACTGGATTCCTGAAACAGCACCTTACCTGTCATGTTTCTCATGTGCCTGTAGGAAATGCCAGCACACAGTTTGAACGTTGCAGGCAACATTTTAAAACTTTTCTTAACAGATGAATGAGTGACTACACGTGAAATGTGTGCACGACGAGTAAGAAGTGGAATCTGAAGAAGAGCTGGCTGCTTCTGCCCCTTTATAGCCCCGTCAGACAAGGCCACATCCTCGTCACCTCACAGATAAAACACCACCATCACTCAACGGACGAGGTTGACCCTGTATGTCAAGGATGTGCAGCGAACACGACAGCCTATCTGTTACCACTGTAAACACATTGTTACAGATAACGGCCAGTGCCTGAAGACTACCCACACAGAACACCGGTTAGTACACTTATGTTGCCTGCATTTTTTTCTTTCTTTTTCCAGTCGAAACAAACAGTACAGAGCAGCTGAACGTATCTACAGATTTTTTTAGGATATGATAAGCCAGAAACTCTCAGTATGTCACATATGTCATTCTCTCCTGGTTCCATTACAGCTTTAGGTCAGGAGGTCAAGTTTACAAAGTGAGAAATCCCCAGCCAAAAATGTCCAGTATCATCATCATCATAACTCCAAGAGGTCAAATTAAAATGACATCATTACTTGGTGACATCTAAAAAAAAAAAGAAGAGGTAATTAGTGGTTTCTCCAAAAATAAACCACTTCAGTTTTATTGTACAAATTGTAACGTTCAACCTTACGTTAGTTGACTGAGATGTAAGCTAGGCTGCATTCTGCAAATCCAGGTCACATCTAGTTGCAAGCTGTGCCACACAAACCATATCAAAGCTGCAACAAATCAATTCTCCATCAGTGACAACAATAAGAGGCCAGTCTGACAGCCTTGGACTCAACGGCAATGGAAACTTTTCTAGTTGTATGAAAATATTGGTTTAATGACTTGTGGTTTTCAGCTTGACGTAAAATCAACTTGTTCAAGAACATTTAAGCAATGGAAAGTGGCTTTATGAGTAAAAGTACCTTAACCCACAACCCCATGTCCCTCAGATTAATTTATACTTTAGGCCTTAACCTTTATCAGACCACCTTCTAATCTGGAAGTGTGAAAGTTAGTCATAAATTGTTGAAATGAAGCTAGAACAGGTGCAAACAAGAGCTGTAATCGAATACCAACTTATAACAATTATTTAATCAAATTACTTACATTTTATCTCTATTACCTGAAAAGCCCCCAAAATTAAATAAAAAGACATTATTGTGTGAATGGAATGGAAAATTTAAATAAAAGAATTACATATAATTGACATACTTTAAATTCTAATATTAAATGTGATATTTAATGTTACATATATACATGTTGCCCTATTATAAAGTGAAACCATTTAAACGAAAATAAGTCAGCATTCCTTGCCATTTGTTATTAAAAGTTTTATGTTTATTTACCTTTCATGATAATCACGTACGCTATCATAATACAAGCACGTTTCACATTTCTAAAAGAACTACACAGTTAAGTTCAGGCCAGCACAGGTTTTATTCAGAAGGACTCTGTCAGGTTTGGCTTCACATGCAATCAGCGTAGTACAACACTCTTTAAAACATGTGTGTGTGTGTGTGTGTGTGTTTGTGCGTGTACATGTTTACATCATGTGAATAACTGAAGTGACACACAAAGTGCAAACCGTATCATGGGCACTAACCTGGACTAGACTACTAAAAAGGAGGCACTTCATTGGGTATTTTTTTTTTTCCAGAATGTAGTTAAAACTTGCTTCAAGAAGAAAAAAAAGAATCCAACAGGAGCCGTGTCCTCAAAAACTGATCTTCTCTAGTGAGAAATTTCAGTTTTTACTTGCCATATAAATACCACTTCAGTTCCCTTTTAGTTTGGTCATTGTTTTAAAGGCAAGTTCCCTTTTATGCAGCAATTACATAACTGTCAACACAAGTTCATTTGTCACGTTGTATGGAGGACATAAAGGAAATATACATAAGCAAAGCATTAACTCTCAGACTGAGGAAAGATTCATAATTTTTCTAAACTTCACAGATATTAAATTACTTCAGAGGGACAATGGAGAAATATAAACCTGTAAGTTTAAAGTTCAAACCATCAGGCTTTCAATTTACAACTTTTTTGTTCGAATAACACTAATAATGCTAGTTCACTGTGACTCAAATTTCATGTCGACTTATGAGTGTTGAAAAAAAAGCGGCGAATCTTTCCTTTATGTTTCCATAGATCAAATCAACACTTACTTGCCGATATAACATAATATCCGTTTACATCAGTCCCTCTTCGTGAAAAACTTGTATTATTAATAATGCATTATTAGCTATATAAATCGGTGCATACATGGGGGAAAAGTCTGCTTCAAATTCACAAAATCAGTAACATGAGACTCAGTTGTCAGAGTTAATCATGTTTTGTAAGAAGCTTCCTCAATTTGGATACACAAAGTGTCAAAATGAGGACTATTCACTGTAATGGTAAATAAAGTAGCCTACTTCCAAACAAGCTGTTAACATTGGCCACAATTTAAAAAAAAAATAGGAGAATCAGTTCTGAATTTCACCTGAAATTGACCATGAATCATCACAGCGAACAACAGCATGGCACTAGTAGCAATACACACAGATCAGCCCCCAAAACCAACAGACACACTGGTCCCGCTCAATGAATAGTTGATTGACCATGCAGTGTGCAGTGCAATTTATGTAACATGTCATGATACAGTGCAATAACCAGTTATCACACACATTTCAAATGAGAAGACGACTGAAATGTTAGAACCTGCACTATACACTTGAACCTTCAGAGGACATTTCTAGCGGGGTAAATTAATGGCATAGCTGATGCATCGTTTGGTAAACACACATCAGCTTAATGATTGGAAATTACATGGCACTTAGCATACGTACTCGTGAAATAGCTTCAAGTCACTATTTTAATACACTTGATTTGTCTTGAGATGCGCTAATGAATGCTGAGGCGTATAAAAACCTTGGAATGGTATTGTAAATGCAAGATTATGAGGTTGAGATTTGTTTTCTGTTCCTTCTTGAATCGCTCTGTTTGGTTACTGAAAAACTATCCATTCATTAAGAAACACTACAAAACTATCACGTATTCTCTATGCACGGGATATACGTTTTGGATTCCCGTGATGTCTATACAACTGAAATCCTGCACACTTTTTAAATGAGTAGCCTACATTTACAGTTGGGAAAGACAGATGAAATGTTTTTCTATCAGTTGGCATCTGATTGGAAACTGCATAAATAAGAGAAAACAGCCACTGAGGTATGAAAGTGAATGAGTCTGGTGTATTATGTGTGCGTGTGTGTAAATGCTGAAGTGAAGTTTTGCCAGTTTTCAGTCTAGTAGTGGTTGAAATCAGATGAAATGAAGGCATATTTACACACCAAATCTGGAAGATAAGCTGTTTTGCTGTCCTAAAATGTATAAATGCTCAAATGTGGCGTTCCTGCAGTGATTATGATTATTAGGTGGTTGATACCGTCTCCTCTTGGAGCTTGCAACAATACAAATTTAGCACATTTTTAAACTGTTTTCCACATCAGCAAAATCTGAGTAGCTCGGATTAAAGAGTCCAGCAATTTCCTCGAATTAACGCCAAATTGCCTATGAAAGCTTAAGTAACCAACCTTTCTGTCCTTAATTTTCTGTAAATCGGTTAAATGAGCCACTTATGAATAATGTGATGAGATGAGAAGGACTGACTGATTTGTTGTGCTGTGATTGGCTATGTATCTGCTGGTAGACGGCCTACCTACCCAAAGGCCACGCCTACTGAGATGGCTCCGCCTTTCACCACTGCCAACTGCCTTTATGCACAGAGGAAGTGACCATACAGAGATACTTTAGCTTATGTTTGTAGACCAAGTTGTGCCTGACACACAGAGCAGATGAGATTTTAGAAAACGGACTTTGGTCAGTCCACCTAAAAATGACCTTTTCTTGTCATCATTTGCTCACCCTCATGTCGTTCCCGATCCTGTATCACTTTCTTCTGTTGAACATAAAAGAAGATATTTTGAAGAATGTTGGTAACTAAACAGTTTCGGTTCCCATTGACTTCCATTGTTTTTTTTTAGTCCAGTCAATGGGAATTGAAACCAACATTCTGCAAAATATCTTCTTTATGTTCACCAGAAAAAGGAAAGTCAATACAGGTTCGGACAGAGATGAGGATGAGTAAATCATGACAAAATGTATATGTTTGGAACTAAGTAGACTGGAAGAGGCTGAAACTGCCAAAGTGAGTTTGTTTTTCAGTGATATTACATAATTTGGAAATTAAATAGGGAGGAAACAATGTACAGCTTCACCGAGCTCCTATTTCCTCGTGCTTTTAGGCCTTTCGTCACTCTCTGAAGCGAAATATGGCAACAGCTACTCAAATACGTGTCTTCTTGTAATAAGCGCTATCTTTGGCCTGAGAGTTTGCAAGGCAATGCACATTTTAGGTTGAGGTTGGAGGTGTTACGTGTAGATGGAAAGAAAAAGGGGTAGGTAGGTATTGTGAGAGGGATGGAGGAGGAAACGAGAGAGTGTGTGTGTTTGTGAGTGCGTGCAGTCTCTTAAGTTCACTATATTAGCTTTCCTTTGCAAAAGAACATTTAAAAAGCCCCCTTCCCGTTCCCTGTGGAGGCCTTTCTTTGTCGATAAAATCCCCTGAATAATATGAGTTAATATTCTGTCAATTGTCAGTGGCTCTTTACTGTTCCAGCAATCCTGAGGGAGCGTGAGGTGAAGGAATAAATGTTCTCCTTTCTGTCACAAAACGGATAAATAAAGGTCTTTAAATGGGAGCTTGTTTTGTCTCCTGTCCTCTCAGCGGGCCATGGATGGATAGTGTGGGCCAAGGCAAGGAAAACACTCTTTCACGTTCTGTCGACCGGTCTTTAAAGGGTAGGAGGAGTTCCTCACTCTCATTCTTTCCTCTCTTTATCACTCACTCGCTTTTGTTCCCTGTAGTCCCACAGCAATCTGTCCACTAGGGGGCAGAGTTTGACATGGAGTCAACAGAGTTGACGCTGGAAGACGAGACCCGGCTTTGAGCGATGGTCACCTCTGGATGCTGAAGGGTGATAGACAATGACAG